CACTGCTAGGTCTGTATCCCAAAGAGATAAAAATCCAAAAGGAAAAGGACCTATATGTACAACAATATTTATAGCAGCTCTTTTCTGGAAGTAAAGAATTCGTAACTGAGGGGCTGGCCCATCAGTTGGGAAATGGCTGAACAAGTTGTGGTATGTGGTTATGATGGAATACTATTGTGCTATAAGAAATGATGAGCAGCGGGGCAGCTAGGTGGCGCAGCGGATGGAGCACTGGTCCTGGAGTCAGGAGGACCTGAGTTCAAGTCCAACCTCTGGCACTTACTAGTTAGCTGTGTGATCCTGGGCAAGTCACTTAATCCCCATTGCCTGCAAAATAAATAAAGAAATGATGAGCAGGATGCTCTCAGAAAAACCTGGAAAGACGCACATGGGCTGATGCAAAGTGAAATGTACTGTGTACAAAGTAACAGCAATATTGTAAGATGATCAGCTGTAAAGGACTTGGCCAGGGGTGGGGAACCTTTGGGCCTTGAGGCCACATGTGGTCCTCAAGTGCGGCCCTTTGACTAAATCCAAACTTCACAGAACAAATGCCCCTAACAAAAGGATTTATTAGCTTTTCTGAACAATACAAAGATCCAAGACAGCTCTGAAGGACTTATGATGAAAAATGCTATCCATCCCCAGAGAAAGAACTGATGGTGTCTGAATACAGACTGAAACATACTTTTGTGATGCTGACCTAGGGCCATATGTTCCCTCAGCTTTCCCACCTCCTTCGTCTCTTGAAAGAGCCAATAATCATTCTTTTTTTTTTCCTAAGTAATTCCTTTTAATTATTTTTCTAGTTTTTTCCCTATTTTTTAAAGTACAGATTTATTTATTTCATTAAATATTTCCCGATTACATGTAAAAAATTTTTAATTCTTTTTTTAAAATTTTGAGTTCCAAATTCTCTTCCTCCCTCCCTCCCCTTCCCTACTCTTTAAGAAAATAAGCAATATATTGATTATACATATGAAGTCATGTAAAATATATTTCAATATTGACCATCTAACAATCTTTCTTTAGGCTTATCTCATATACTACACTGGTTCCCTCTACACTTCTGTCTCCTGCTCATTTTTCCTCTTTTGTGCCCTGGTTTTTCCAAGATTGCCCAACTGCACTGAATGGATTTCAGAGCTGTGAAAAACATACTTCTCCTAGGCATTATTTTCATTTTTGTTATCCCCTTTCACTGCAGTGGTTTCTTTTCTTTTAGCACAATGAACAAAGTATATATGGTTTTCTTTTTTTTTTTCTTTTTCCTTTCAGACTCAGAGACCAGGCCTGAGGCCAAGGCATCAACTCCAAAGCAGAGAGTTTCTCAAGAAAGCTCTTTCCAGGGGCTGGTAATGGAAAGACTCCCAAGGAATAGTCCCTTGTACTCCAAGTTTAGGGGACTAAAAGCCAGAGGAAGTGAGGGCAGTTTAAACATAAGGCAGGGAAGTCAAGGGAAACCCTACGAATGCAGTGAATGTGGGAAAGGATTTATTTACTGCTCTGAGCTTATTCGACACTGGAGAATTCATACAGGAGAGAAACCTTATAAATGCAACGAATGTGAGAAAACCTTCAGATACTGCTCGTCCCTCACTCAGCACCAGAAAATTCATATTTTAGAGAAACCCTTTGAATGCAGTAAATGTGGGAAAGCCTTTAGTGATAACTCAACCCTCCTTAGACATCAGAAAATTCATAATGTGGAGAAGACATACAAATGTAGCGAATGCGGGAAGTCCTTCAGCTACTGCTCAGCCTTGATCCGACATCAAAGGATTCATACTGGAGAGAAGCCCTATGAGTGCAGTGAGTGTGGGAAGACCTTCGGGTACTGCTCGTCCCTAATTCAGCATCACAGAATCCATACTATTGAGAAACCCTATAAATGTGCTGACTGTGGAAAAGCCTTTACCGATAGCTCAAACCTTCTCCGACATCAGAGAGTTCATAATGTGGAGAAACCTTACAAATGTAATGAGTGTGGGAAGTCCTTCAGTTACTGCTCAGTCTTTATTCGACATCAAAGGATTCACACTGGAGAGAAGCCTTATGAATGTAATGAATGTGGGAAATCCTTTAGCCACAGCACGTGCCTTACCCAACATCAGAGAACTCACACGGGAGAGAAACCTTACGAATGCAGCGAATGCGGAAAAGCCTTCAGCCAGAACTCATCCCTTTATTATCACCAGAGAGCTCATACTGGAGAGAAACCATACAAATGTAATGTATGTGGGAAAGCTTTCAGTTACAATGCTTCCCTCACCCAGCATAAGCAAACCCATACTGGGGAGAAGCCCTATGAATGTAGCGAATGTGGAAAAACCTTTAGTCGAAGGACATACCTTACTGAGCATCAGAGGATTCATACTACAGAGAAACTCTTTGAATGCAGTGAATGTGGGAAGTCCTTCAGCCAGAACTCATCTCTTGCTGAACATCAAAGATTTCATACTGGAGAGAAACCCTATGAATGCAATGAATGCGGGAAAGCCTTCAGCCGGAGCACATTCCTTACTCGTCATCAGCAAACTCATAGTGGAGAGAAACCCTATGAGTGCAGTGAATGTGGGAAAGCCTTCAGCCAGAGACAGTCCCTTTATTACCATCAGAGAACTCACACTGGAGAGAAACCATATGAATGTAATGAATGTGGGAAATCCTTCAGCCGGAGCACATTTCTTACTCAGCATCAGAGAATTCATACTGGAGAGAGACCATATGGCTGTGATGAATGTGGGAGTGCCTTCAGTAGGCGTGCAGCCCTCACCAAGCACCAAAATCTTCACTGCAGAGGGTATATGCAGTGATCGTGGGCTAGGCTTCATATTGATTTAACATTTTGTTCATACTCATGAGTCAAGATGTCACAGAGTGGGACTCTGGGTCTGTGTAGCCATGGTGGCCTATGTCCCGGGACCATCTGTGTCCAGCAGCCTTTAAGCAGCAGGCCCAAGCCTGGGCCCCGCCCACCCCAGGTAGTCAGCAAAGGAGGGCAGAGTCCCGGGGCCTGGGCCCCAGTACAGTACAGGTTTCAGGTATAGTTCTACAGGTGGATTACCAGTATAGTGACTCACCCTTCTGATGCTGGTCAACATCAAAGACTTGTGTCCTCTACATCTCTGTGAAAAGATAGATCCACAAAAGAGTTCATCATCTCAGCTTGGAGCATTTGAACCAAGTAGAAATTTCAATGGCCAAGCAAGGGGAATTTGGATTTCACACAGACCAAAAAAAAAAGTAATGTGTTCACAGGAGGTTGCATTTCAGGCAAACAGGGTGTATACCAATAAAGTTTTTGATTCTTTAAAGAAAAAATCAAGACTGAGGCATTGCTAGCAAATGATTGAATGTGAAAACATTCTACAAGATGTGCCACTTTTGTTGAAGTATTTCTCTTGGAACTATATATTTAAACCATCTAAATGTAGTCCTTTAAAAATAAATATCTAAAACCACTTTCTCATCCTCGATTCTTCAATGTCATTTTACATAAAGAATTTCCTTTCTATAGAGATCCTCATACATATCTGACATAGGTGGCTTTTTTGGAACTGAATATTTGAATCATTGGTTTTCAAACACATTTCGTTTTTCTTTTGTGTGTCCATGTCTCCTTGAATAAAATACAGGTTTGGTGTTTTTGTTGGGGTTTTTCTTTTTTTTTTTTAGTTTGTTTTGTTTTGTTGGTAAAGTATCCCAGCTGGGAGTTTGAGAAATAGACCTCTTTCCCCTTTGTTTCCTTTTTTCCTTAACGTCCAAGTTTCAAAGGACTTTCAGAGGCCATCTAGGCCCTCTTGGACCCTCTCAAGAATCCCCTCTACAAATAGACCAAAAAATGCCACCACCACCCCCAGCTTGAAGACCTCTAGTGAGAGAACCCACCCCCTCTGGAGGTGATCCATTTTATTTGGGGATGCCTCTTATTTTAAGAATAAAGCTGGAGTTTCCCCCTGTTACATCCAACCCTTCCAATAGCGGAAGACCTCTGTTATATGCCCTGTACATCTAAGCCAGGACGGCACGCAATCCTGTCCCGTTTATCAGTGTCTTTTCCAGACCCGAGCCCCTGCGCTCATTCCAAGGCGGCCGCCCAAAACGGGGTCCCCAGGGACCCACCCTGGCCTCCCCGTTGCGGACATCGGCGCTTCGGGGAGAGCTGGTCTGGCGTCCCAGGCACCAGAACTGAAATCTTTATTGAAAGAAATAGCGATGCTCTTTCAGGCGACACGTGGATCAGCCGCTGCTCTCCTCACTAGACTTGTTGTAGCTTTCACTAAGGGGTGTTGATAAAAAGATGGATCAAGAACAAGTCACGAAGCAGCTCCACTTCGAGGACGATGGGGCGAGCGACTCCCGAACCACACCTCCCAGAATCTTTGTAGATGGGCACATCCGGGCTCCCCTAGTCTGTTCCCAGAGAATCCCGCTCTCCCTGGCCCTGCTAGGGCTGCGGAGGTTTCTGGGAAAACAAAAATGCGATGGAGGATTCTGGGACTCGTAGTGCATCGGTGACTTTCGCGCAGGCGCAGTGTCGCGGGGGGGGGGTAGGGCGGACGTTGAGTTGGGGTTGGGGGGCTAGGCTGTCCTTTTTGTCTGCTCTGATCGCCAGCAGCTGAAGTGTCTTCGGCCTCGGGGTTCCAGGCGGGGAGGGGTGCTCCTGCCCCTCCCCTCCTCTGGCCCACCTCACACTCTGACCCTGAACCCCATTCCTGTGGCCGCAGCCGGGCCTGGGGAGGGGGACGAGGAACTGCAGCGCCCCGCCCCCGTCCATCCCCCTTCTCTTCGTCATCCCCCTCCCCCAACGATCTTTTCCCTTTCCCTAATTCATCCTCCTCTTCCCCAGTTCATCCTCCCTCTCTTCTTCCCCAGTTCATCCTTCCTTCCTCTTCCCTAATTCCCCCTCCCCCTCTCCTCCCTCTACCCAGTTCTTCCTCCCCCAGCCATTATTGTCCTCCTCCAGCTTGTCCTTCCTCCCCTCTCCCTCCCCCATCTCCTCCTCCCCCTCCCCACCTCTCTGTCACTCCCACACTCCCACCCACCCATTCAAGCTTCCTCCTCCAGACACCTGTGGAAGCCGTGGTGTTTCTGTCTGAGCAGCCACTTGTGTGTCTATACCTTACAGGTGTTTGCTGTGGCAGAGTGACTCTAAGGAGGGGGGCTGGGTTCGAGGAGCCGCCTAGGTGCCTTCTGATTGTGAGGGAGGGGCCCAGGTTGGGGCAGTCTGTGCGTGTGTAATTTTTGGCACAAGTGTGGTCTGTGTTAGGTGAAGTCTTTCTGGTGAAACATGTGCACGTGTGTCTTTGTGTGTGACGCCATAGTTCCAGGAGCTCTGTGGATCTCCCAAGAGGTCATTGCCATCTACCTGGCACCCAGCTGGTGGGCCCTTTGGACCTTGCAGGGTTTCAGCAGGGTGCAGGAGTAGATCTGGACCGAGGTTACTGGACCCTTCCAGCTGACATCCGATCTGAAGAGCCTGCCCAGGCCTGGGTTGGGTTATGGCCACCCCTCTGTCCCTCCAGGTCCCAGCTCCCCCAGAACAAATTGGGTTCCTGAGCCCAAAGATGGAGGAAAATGACCCTGGGCCTCAGGGATTCCTCCAAGGTGGGGACCAATCCTTGACCATCCTGCCTGGGATGATGGGGACCTGCCAGAGGCCACAGCGTCCAGAGCACAAGGATTGGACCCAGATTCTTGAGAAGAAAGGTGAGATTGACAGAAGAATCAGGGAGGTAGGCGGGGGTTTGGGGGTGCACGTGGATGAGTAGATGGGGAGGGTTGGTCTTGGAAAGGTAATGAGAGGCTAGAACATGGGATTTGGGAAGGCCTGAGTTCAGGTCCTGCCTCTAAAGTCCACTTAACCTTTCAGTATGTCACTCTCACCCCCCAGACAACTCTCCAAGACAGGAATCCTTAACCTCCTTTGTGTCCTAGACCCTTTTGGCCGCAGTCTGGTGAAGCCTATGGACCTCTTCTCCGAATCAAGGTTTTAAATGCTTAAAGTGAAGTACGTAGGATAACAGAGCAAACCAGTTATGTGGAAATACAGTTATCAAGATGGTTTAAAAAAAAAAAGAGTTAAGGGCCCCCAGACTAAGAGGCCAAGCTATAAGACTGTAAATTACTGATGAGGTGAAGATCCCCTGCAGGCGGATGAAATCACAGTTCTGGACCAAAACAGAAAAGTGCCTCCCACCTTACCGTGTAGTTTTGAGGCCCAAGTGAGATCGTGTATGAGAAGTGTTTTGCAAACTTTAAAAAGACACCATTGGTATTGATCATTATTAGAAAGAGTGGGGGAGCCTGGCCCCCTTGCAGATGGTCCTTCCAGAGCCACTGTGGGCAATAATGTACCCTCCCCCAAAAAAAAGCTTGGTTGGGGAGAATATTCTCCAACGTGGTGACATTGGGGCAGTGCATAGAGCACTGGTCCCAGAGTCGAGAAGACCCGAGTTCAAATCCACAGTCAGCTACTGACTTGCTATGTGACCTTGAGCAAATCACTTAACCTCTGCCTCGGTTTCCTCCTCTGTAAAATGGAGATAATCATAATGCCAACCTGCAAGGTTTGTTGCAAGGTTCTCATGGTCTTTGAATTTGACTTTTCACATATCCCATCTGTGGTCTTACTTGGTTCTTCTTGGAGTCCTTTGAGGCAAGTAAAGGAGATGTGGTTATCTCTACTTTACAAACAAGAAAACTGAGCAAATGTCATGAAGTTTCAAGACCAGGACATATTGGAGACTGGAAGGGAACCTGGGGCTCCTCAGCTTCCTTGCCCCTTCTGTTCCAAGGCCTCTCTCCTAATGAGGGTGATCTCTTCACTCAGAAAATTGATTCACATCTTATGAGTTAGGAGGGTGAAGAGAGATGTTTTTGCCTTCTTAAATATGGAGGCGTCCAGCACCCTTCACACCACCAAACAGCCTTGGAGACAGAGCTTCACATTCTCCTTGTGTGTCCCGCCTTCCAGAGGTGACCTCTATGCATTCCCTTGGGAAGATGGAATTTCGGTTGATGTCCATTATCCTCTTCTCTCAGTCTTGGCTCCGGAGGCTGCTGTTGTCAGACCTTAGAAAACCTGAGAAACCAGGGAAGCCCCAGACCAGGCAGGAATTGCCTCAGCCCCGGCCTCTGGTGGGTGGTCAGCTAGCCCCTGCTGGAGTATTTCCAGTAATGGGGAACTCCATGGATGGCCTGCTCTGCTCACTGCCCCCACACCTACCTTCCTATCCCTTCTGTCCTTGGTTCTAGTCATGCTGCCTGGAGCCAGACAGAATACCTGTGGCTTCCTCCTTTGGGTAGTCGATGACATCCCTCAGCCTTTCCTTCTCCATCCAGTTGAGAATCATGGACATTTAGAGTTGGAAGGACCCTTCTGAGATCATCTAATCTAACCATGTTGTTTTAAAGAAGAGTGATGGAGATCCATATTGGCCCAGAGTTGGGTCTTTGGCGGTCATCACTGTTCCTTAGTTCTCGAAACCATTCTTCATAACCACACCGTGTTCCCTAGACCTTGTCCTTATCCCTCTCCTCTGCACAGTCTCTGGTTTGGCAGTGTCTAAGGCTACACAAAATATTCCAGATCTTTCAACGATGGCGGGAGACACTGGGATTGCTGCCTCTTGGCCAGGATGCCATGCTCCAGTTATCAGTCACACATTCCATGGCTGCATAGTCCCACCTACCACTCTGTACCACTGGGGCTGTTCTTGAGGAAGGCCCATGCAAACCACAGTAAAAAGATGTCTGTGATTTTTTAAAACAAACTCTAGAGTTTATTCTTTAGAGTTATTACACTCAAGAGTCTTGGCATCTACTGCTGTGGGGTTTCTTCTTGTTGGCTTGGGTCCATCATTCCATTCTGTTGGGATCTTAATTCAGCTCACAACTACATTTCCTACTTCTCTCACCTTGGTGTGAGACACACATTTTTCTAAGCACACCTTTTCTGTCTCCATTCAAGGCCATTAATAAGAAACACTGATGAGAAAGGAGCTAAGGGTAGGGCCCTGTTGGGTATGTCCCTGACATTGCAGGTTGACACCAGCTGTTAAGCCACTGCCTTTGGGGACACTGATTCAGTGAGCCACAAATTGGCCCTTTGACTTATCATTCACTCCCCATTTCTACATCTCGTCTGCAAGGTTGTCCTGACACACTTTGTCAGCTGTTGGGCTGAAATTCAGACAAGTATTTTAGTCTGCAGCTGGCCCCCTGATTTCCTCACTCAATCATCATCTCCAAAAAAGGAAGGTAACACTAGCTCATCTTGAATTGTGTTCAGCAAAGCTTTTCCTGGCTCCTCGTAAATCATGGTTTTGTTTTCTTTGGGCTCATTGTGATCTGCCTCATGATCTGTCCTCGAGTTATGCTGATGATTAAAATCAAGGTCATCTGTCTTGAATTCCACAATCCCTTTCTTGTGTTTTTTTTTATTTTTTAAATCAGTCTCCAGTCCTCTGGCTTTTACCTACTTCTTCATTCATTCTTAAAGATTACCAGTTGTTCCTAGGAGCCCGTCTACAACTACTTCAAGATCCAGGCAGGGGGTTTGTCTGGACTTGAGGAGCTGGTGTTCACCCAAAGTTCTGGGGAGCTTCCTGCCATCTTGGACTCAAATTCCTTTTTAATTGTGTGTGTTTTACATTTTCTCATTTAACCCCTTCTTTTTCTCATAGAAGATCAGAACAAAAGAGGAATTTATGAGGCGTGCTTTCTCCTCTTTGTCTCTTGACATATAATCTGCCAGACACAGAGAATATCCCTTCCACAATCTTGCCCTGAACGCACCGCCAGTGTCCTCTTCATTGTCTCGAACGTTTCCCCAGGCCTAGGCTCCCATCCCCACATCCCCAAACATTTAGCAGTAATTGTAGCGGCTGATTAGGTGGCTCTTCATGAAGTTTTATGGAGAACTTTACAAACAGCATTGTCCCATCTCTGTCATTTCCCTTCTGAGTAAGACAATCCTAGGTGTTCAGAGGACCTCAGACTGAGAATAGAAAGCCACCTTAGAGGCCCCTCCTTTACAACTGAGTCAGCTAAGAGGTAGAGACCAGAAGTGACTCACCCAAGATGCCAGTGGCATTTTATGCTTCCCATGTTTGAGGTTTGAGTACAAAGAAGGGGAGGGAGGGCCTTCAGCTCCTCACACTCTACCAGTTCTTCCAAAGGCTGCCCAGGGAGCAGATCTCCATCACCAGTGTACCTTCGGTCAGTCAGCACAAGCATTTCTATGCCAGGCACTATGCTAAGTGCTGGAGGGGACAGAAGAAGTGAGGAGTGCTGGATAAAAGTGAGAAGAACCCTGCGCTCAGGAAGGTTCCATTCTACATTATTCTGCTTCTGCTGTTGCTTGGAGCAGTGGATAGAGTGCCAGTCTTGGAGTCGGGACAACTCATCTTCCTGAGTTCAAATCAAGCCTGACCCTCATTAGCTGTGTGACCCTGGGCAGATCATTTAAGCCTATTTGCCTCAGTTTCCTCATCTATAAAGTGAGCTAGAGAAGGAAATGACAAACCACTCTAGCACCTTTGCCAAGAAAACCACAAATGGGGTCATGAAGAGTTGGACATGACGGGAAAACAACTGAACCGATGACGTTGCTTTGATCCATATTGGGAAATTTCCCTTAGCTGCCTCAGAGTGTGCTAAGGGTTGTTATCCATTGCCACAAAGATGCCACGTGCATTTTTGTTCTTTATTATTGCCCTAACACGCTCTGCCAACCTCCCAGCCCTCCATGGATGTCCCACAGGTATAAGTCCTCGTGAATGATCGCCAAGCACTTGCTGTGTTTGGGGGGGGGGGGAGAGCCTCTCTGACCTCTCTTTCTGGAGCACTTGGAGATTTCTGTGCTGGTGGTTGTTTATGTTTCCCCAGCTGTGCTGTCTCAGGATTTGCCCTTTCCTACAGAGGGGAGCACCGAGAAAGAGGGAATGGATGCTGGGCGGCCAACAGCCGGCTCTCAGGTGAGGTGGGTTTTTTCTCCACTGTCTGAAATGCCAGAATGTGCACACGCATCTCTTTGTTGTGCCCAAGCTTCTTTGCCCAGACAGTCTTCACTCATGCAGAGACCTGAGCCCTCATCCTTCATCTTTAGGACACAGGGCCTTCCCACTTAATATTTTATTTTTTCCCAATTACATGTAAAAACAATTTTGACATTCTTTTTTTTTTTCAAATTTTTAGTTCCAAATTTTCTCCCTCTCTCCCCGCATCGAGAAGGCAAGCAATTTGACATAGGTTATACATGTGTAGTCATGCAAAACCATGTAAGTCATTCTTCGAAAGAAAACGCAGACAAAAAAAAGAAAGAAAAAGTATCTTTGATTTGCATTTAGGCTCCACCAGTTCTTTCTCTGGAGATGGACAGCACCTTTCATCATAAGTCCTACAGAATTGTCTTGGATCATTCGTTGTATTGTTGAGAATAGCTAAGTTATTCGTAGTAGATCATCACCACAATACTGTTGTTACCGTGTACAGTGTTCTCCTGGTACTGTTCATTTCACTTTGCATCAGTTCATGTAAGTCTTTCCATGTTTTTCTGAGAGCATCCTGCTCATCATTGCTTATAGCACAATTGTATTCCATTGCAATCATATACAACTTGTTCAGCCATTCCCCAGTTGATGGGCATCCCCTCAATTTCCAATTCTTCGCCACCACTAAAAGAACTGCTATAAATATTTCCGTACGTATAGGTCCTTTTCCTTTTTATTTTTTTTTATCTTTGGGATACAGACCTAGCAGTGGTATTGCTTGGTCAAAGGCTATGCATGGTTTTATAGCCCTTTGGGTACAGTTCCAAATTGCTCTCCAGAATGGTTGAATTAGTTCACAACTTCACCAATAGTACATTACTGTTTTAATTTCCCCACATCCCCTCCAACATTTGTCATTTTCTTTTTCTGTCATATTAGCCAATTTGACAAGTGTGAAGTAGTAGCTCAGAGTTGTTTTAATTTGCATTTCTCTCATCAATAGTGATTTAGAGCATTTTTCATGTGACTATAGATAGCTTTGATTACTTTGTTTGAAAATTGCCTCTTCATATCCTTTGACCATTTATCAATTGAGGAATGGCTCCTATTCCTATAAATTGGACTCCATTTTCTGTATGTTTGAGAAACGAAGTCTTTATCAGAGAAAATCACTGTAATTTTTTTTCATAGCAATATCACCAACTACGTATTTCCCTCCATTCTGTTCCCTTCTTCCCCTCCCCATTTATCCTGTTCTCTCCCTCTGTCCTTCTACCTTGTCCATTCTCAAAAAGGTTTTGCTTCTGACTTTTCCCTTTCCCAAACCGCCTTCTCTTATATCAGCTACCCCCCCTTCTCTTATCCCCTTCCTTTCCTACTTTTCTCGTATGGTAAGATAGATTTCTGCACCCCACTGAGTGTGCATATTATCCCCTCTTTGAGCCAGTTCTGATGAGAGTAAGATTTATGTGCTCCCCTCCCTGCTTCCCCCACTTCTCCCTCCGCTGTAAAATCTCTTATAGGCCTCTTTTATGTCAGACAACTTACCCCATTCTATGAATTCTTCTTTCTCATCCCTCAATTTTATTTTTTTAAATAATCATGCCATCACATTCAACTCACACCTCTGCTTTCTGTCCATGTCTTCTAACTGCCCTAATAATGAGAATGTTTTTAGGAGTTATAAATAGCATTTTCCCATATAAGAATATAAACAGTTTAGTCTCATCAAATCCCTTGTGATTTCTCTTTGCTGTTTGCCTTTTTATGCTTCTCTTGAGTCTTGTATTTGAAATCTGTCAGCCCTCCCTTCCTTTCTCTTATCCCCCACTTCTTTCGTACTTTCTTGTAGGGTAAGATAGATTTCAATATCCAACTGAGTGTGTTTGTTATTCCATCTTTAAGCTAATTCCAATGAGAGTAAGGTTTAAGCATTGTCTGCCACCATTTATCTTTTCCTCCATTGTAAAAGCTCTTCCTTTCACACCTCTTTTATGTGGGTAATTTTCTCCATTCTTCCTCTCCCTTCCTTTTTCTCCTAGTGCATCCCTTTTTATCACCCCTTCATTTGGGGGGGGCAGTGGGGGTTAAGTGACTTGCCCAGGGTCACACAGCTAGTAAGTGTTATGTGTCTGAGGCCGGATTTGAACTCCTGAATCCAGGGCCAGTGCTCTATCCACTGCGCCACCTAGCTGCCCCTCACCCCTTCATTTTTTATCATGCCATTATAGTCAATTCCCACCTACACCCTCTCTGTCTACCTATGTTTCTTCTAACTGCCCTAATAATGACAACCGTCTTAGGAGTTATAAATATCATCTTCCCACACAGGAATGTAAACATTTTAACCTTGTTTATTCCCTTATGATTTCTCTTCCATGTTTACTTCTTGAGTCTTGTAGTTAAAAGTCAAATTTTCTATTCAGCCCTGGTCTGTTCATCAGGAATGCTTAAAAGTCTTCAATTTCATTGAATATCCATTTTCCCCCTGAAGGGTTATACTCAGTTTTGCTAAGTTACAGGACAACCTCTATTTCACTCCACAGAAAATATACAAAAGACTCATGTGGTCACCCCTATATAGTCAGTTCACTTCTTTACCTCATCTTCTCCCACTGTCCCCCATTTAGTTCCCCAGACTCATGATGCCAACCTGTGGTTTGGACCCCCCTTGGAAAGTAATCCCATTTGGGGTTTCCTGAAGAGGTGAGTCCCACTTTTAACCTAGAGATGTGGACCAGCTTCTAGCTTTCTCCACTTGCCAAGGTCAAGCACTGTGTTTAGTACAGCAGGAGGCACATGGCAGGTGCTCAATAAAGATGCCAGTTAAAATACTCAAAGCCTTGAATGATGTCAGAACCGTTTCTTCTGCACCTCGACCCCATCACAGCCCTTCCCCAAGCTCAGGTGGGGCACGGCCCCTGGACAAGCCAGAATGCATGTGATGTTTCAGGAGCCAGTGACATTCAAGGATGTTGCCGTGGACTTCAGCCAGGATGAATGGGGACACCTAGACACTGCCCAGAGGCACCTCTACAGGGACGTGATGCTGGAGAACTACAGGAACCTGGTCTCGCTGGGTAAGAGCAGTTGCCTCTGAGACTCAGAGTCTGCCCTTTGGGTACCTTGGCCTTCTCGATTATCATTGGCTACGGGCCTTCTGGAGATCAGCTCTGTTCTTGATATTGGGCTCCGGGTACATATTCTCAGTCCGTTTGTGGCCCATACACAGTGTGTTTCTACTTCTGTTCCTGGAAAAAAAAAGCCCTGTGCTTTGCAGAGCTAGACTTGGCCAGAGTATTTGGGCTGCCCAGTGGACTGTCCCTTCTTTATTCTCTTTCCCCAGGGTCCTTCCCAGCGAGGAGGCCTTTGCAGAGGCCAGGTTCCCATCCTGCTGGGACCAATAAGCCCTTCCTCTCTCTGAGCCCAGGCAGTCTCCCTCCCAAAGAGCACAGAGGTGCCCTCTCCCTTCCCCAACCACCCTGCAGGCTATGACTTCTCTTCCCTCAAGGCCAGGGGCTGGCGCTGAGCTCTTGGCTGACTCCCTTCTCCCTGAGCATAAGCAGACACCACCCATTTCTCTCCCCATGAGCAGGGCTGGTCCGAGCCCAGTCTGAGGTGGTCTCTCACTTGGAACGAGGGGACGAGCCATGGAGGCCGGAGAGAGGAGAGCTCCGAGGCACCCATCCAGGTGAGCAAATGACGAACCCAGGGAGGCGGTGAGGACTCAGAGCGACAGCGTGGCAGGGAGGATTCCATGGGGGGCTCTGCCTAGTGCCCCCGAGTCTGTGGGGCCTTCGAGAGCATTAGGCATATGTGCAGTCGTGGACTGAAGTGAACGTAAGGGATCTTTATCTCCACTCCTGTACTCTCATTCCTTAGGACCATCCCCCCCAAGGCATACCCCCTCCTCAGCATCCCCCCTCCTCAACATCCCCCCCTCTTCAGCATGCCCCTCCTCACCATCCCCCCCAGCATGCCCCTCCTCACCATCTCCCCCTCCTCAGCATCCCTCCCTCCTCACCATCCCCCCCTCCTCACCATCTCCCCCTCCTCACCATTCCCCTCCTCACCATCTCCCCCTCCTCACCATCTCCCCCTCCTCACCATCCCTCCCTCCTCACCATCCCCCCCAGCATGCCCCTCCTCACCATCTCCCCCTCCTCAGCATCCCTCCTCTCACCATCCCCCCTCCTCACCATCTCCCCCTCACCATTCCCCTCCTCACCATCTCCCCTCCTCACCATCCCTCCTCCTCACCATCCCCCCAACATCTCCCCCTCCTCAGCATCCCTCCCTCCTCACATCCCCCCTCCTCACCATCTCCCCCTCCTCACCATCCCCCCTCCTCACCATCCCCCCTCCTCAGCATGCCCCCTCCTCAGCATCCCCCCCCCAACATCTCCCTCTCCTCAGCATCCCCTCCTTGTGCTCATGGGTCACACTCTCACAGCCATTGTTTCCTGACCCTGCCAAGTCTGGCCTTTGTCACAGATTCACCATCTCTGCCTTTAAACATCTCAGGTTTCTCCATTTAAAAAAATAGAACAGACAAAACAAAAATACCTTTTCCTTGACTCTGTTACCTCTTTTTCTTCTTCCTTCTACTGTCTAACCATGGGAGTGAGCTCCTGTACTCCCTGCCTCCGAGGTCCCTTTCCTAACACCCTGCCTCATCCTGGCCTCCATCTTCACCACTCTACTGACACTGTTCCTGTCAAGGTGCCCAGACCTCATGGTTTTTCCTCAGTCTTTGTCCTCCTGGACATTTGACAGGACTGAGCAGGTCCTGTCTTTAAAAAAAAAAAACACCAATCCAAACCCTTCCCCTTCACTGTCCTGTGTAACACTCAGGATCTGCTGGGCGTCTGTCTGATGCTGTCCCTCAGTACATTTGAGTTCAAGGTGCTGACCCAGAAGAGGCCAGTCTTGACCTTGTAGCTACTATTCCTGGATTTACATTGGGATCCCTTGGATTTGGGCAGGAGAGGCTATTCCCCAGGTGAGACCTGAGAGAAAAGACATAGACTGTTTGGTCTACACAAGCTTCCAAGCTCAAGGAGACCCTTGTCCTAATGGAGTAGAGTGTTATTTTTGTTTTTGTTTTAATCTCAGCAAATACTGAAATAAAATGAGGAACAGATTCCTGAAGAGAACTGTGACTTTAGACTGCACGCAGATGTTAAAGTAGACATTTGTAATAATGTTCTATACACACATATAAACTTTAGCCACTTGATAACAGTAACAGCTGATATGCTCTGTCCCTTTCCCAGCTCTTCCATCTTTGCTTTTTCATACAATAGTTCTTTGTAGGTAGTTGTGGTTGTGTTTTTTTTAAGTCACAGTAAATGTTTATTGTTCTTTTCATTCATTCTTTCTTTGCTCCACCTCACTTTGTCTTTTCTCATTTCTCTCTTTGTATTCATATATGTCATTTTTATAGGATAGGAATATTTTGTCATAGTAGTGTCCTACCATTTAGTAAGGTATCACCTACCTATTGAATATATAGGTTATGTTCAAGGTTGTCCTATTACCAGTAAAGCATCTAGGAATATTTTTATAGAGATGGAAGTGTTTCTGCCCTTTTAATATCATTCTCATGACCTAGTCCTGTTGTCGGATCATTGGCAAAAGTTGTAGTCTGTATTGTAACTCTTATTGCATGTTACCACTTCATTTTCCAAAGCAATCGCACTGATTTCCCAATTCCAACAGGAGTGTAAACAGTATGCCTATTTACCTCCAGCCTCACCAACATTAAGTTTTATTGTTCTTAACCATCTCTGCTAATTTGATGAGCAAGGTGGTAACTCAAGGCTATTTTAATTTATATTTATTTAATGGAGAGGTTGAACCATTTCAAATGATTATTGATTTGCATTTCTTCTTTGGAGAATTGTCTGTTCATACCCTTTAACTATTTGTCCAGCGGAATGAGCATTAATTGCTCTTAGAAATTTGTATCTATTCCTTACAGATTCTGGATGTCAGATTTTTATCATATATATTTACTACAAATATTTTTCCCCACTTTAAATGTTTTGTTTTAATTTTGGTTATATTGTTTTTGATGTACAAACTCCTTTTATGTGTTTGTCTCTAATTTCTCCCTTTTGCTTGATGCCCCCTTCTATCCATTTATATTTAGATCAGCAATCCTTCTGAAATTTGGCATAGTGATTTATATGACGAGTGGGACTAAACTCGTTTTCTCTCATGCCGTTTGCTGATTTTTCTCAGCTATTTTTATTAAGTCAAATTTCCCCAGTGTTTGGAATTATAAAACACTAATCTCTTACATTTATTTGGTTTTTTTTCTGGGTCCTCTTGGGCTTCATGGAGCTATTTTAAAAATCCAGTACTAGAGAGTTTTGTGTAATTACTGCTCTAAGGCATATTTGAAATCTAGTGGGGCTATTTCACTTTTATCACTTTTTTCTGTGGTTCTCCTTGATTCTTTTACCTACTTTTTTGCATATAAAATTTATTACCTGTGTGCTTTTTATAGTAGGGGGAAAAAAACCTAAAAATGAGGTGACCACTTCCTATGATACTTAGGAATACAATTTTTAAAATACTTCCATTTTCTCACTGTCAACTTTGTCCATTCACCAGATATGTGCCAAGCCCTGTGCTGGCTGCCACGCATACACAAACAAAAATGACATTGTTCTTGCTCTCAAGAAGCTTACATGTCTCTCTTCTGTGGAGACCACTTTCGCTTTCTTTTACTCAAAGTGTTTGCAGGCATTGACAGGCTGATCATTCAGCTGGGCTGCAGCCTTCTGGGAAGCTGATGATTGCTAGAATACTAGAAGTCCTTGGGTGGCTCCTTGCTAATAATGCCCCTGGTTGGGAGTCATCCATGGCCCATCTTACTCAGCTCACCCTTCTCTTCACAAAGGGTTTAGGAATAAGAGCTCCACGTTTAATTTCAAGGGAGAATTTTCCTACATCCCCTATTCCTTGATCTTTCTTCTTCTAGGTCAGAAATGGCGTGGGGGTGGGGGGATGGAAAAAAATCAATCTGCCTCTCTTTCCCTGACTGATAAGACCCTTCCACTCCCTCTTCTAGTCAGGAAGAAGTTACTCCAAGGCTACTTCCCCCTCCGGTCCCTCGGTCCCCCTTCTAGCAGGTACTAGTGAGTGTTCCTAGAAGACCCCAGTCCAGTGGGTTTTGTCTGGCTCCCCAGCTTCTTGGAGGCCTTTGCTCCCCTGAACATTGAAGTGCATTTTGAACAAGAAAGATTTTCACCCGAGTTACTCACTGGTTTCCTGTCTCACGTTTTGAATTCCTTCTTGTCTTCTTCCCTCGTCATCCCGATCTTGAAGGAGGTCTTAAAGGCCCTCTCTTGGTCAGTGCACTCGCCATTGCACATCCTTAGGAAGCTCACCCACTGGGGGTTTCACCTCTCCCTTCTCCCTCTGATCATCTTCAGTCCTGACTTCTGTTTCTGCTTGCCCACAGGATCCCCGCCTGGGGTGACTCATGGAATGCATTGAGAGCCCAGCTCATTTCTCTATTTCCCTCTGTTATTCTATGCTTTCAAATCCCCTTGGTTGCAGAGCACTGAGTCACGTCACTGTCCTGCTTACGGGTGTATAGTGACTCCTTATTAACTACCATATCAAGGCTGAATATCATATTCTTTCATTTCCCAGCATGTGCCCTCTCTTCTATGCAAGCTTGTAGCCTCCTTTTCCCTACACCTATACCTTTATTTGGGATGTGACTCCTCTTCCCATCGTTTGTTTGTTTGTTTGTTTTATGGTTGCTTTTTATTTTTGCATTCCTTTTGTTTCTGAATATGTCCCGTCCCTTAACCAATTGAGTCTTCCCTTTTTAACAAAAGGTAGAAAAGCCAATTGGCCCATCAACTGTGTCTGATAGTGTGTGCAACATTACACACACACACACACACACACACACACACACACACACAGAGGATCTACTTATGGGGGAGGGTAACCAAAGAATAGAAGGTTCAGAGCAAGCCCCTCATCCCAGTCTAGGTATCTGTTAGAGAAATGGAGAACCCCTTCCCTTGGGATGCGGGTTCAAGAACTGATTGGATATGAGAGATGAGTGAGAGTCAAGGGTTGTGAGAGTCTCCAGGTTGTGAAGCTGAGTCATTGCAAGGATGGTGGACCTTGCCTGCGGGAGAAAAGTTCCAGAGGATGGCTGGGGAAATAGAGCTCGGCTTGGGACGTGTGAAATCTGAGGTGCCTCTGGGACATCTAGGACAGCTAAGCAGAGAGATCAAGCAGGCCGTTAGAGATGTGGAACTGTAGCTCAGGAGAAAGAGGAAAACTGGAGAGGTAGATGTGAGTGCCCTCTGTGTAGAGACGATCACTGAATCCATTGGGACTGACAGACTGACAAAAAAAGTGTGTAGAAAGAGGAGACAGCCCCAGGTAGAACCCTGTGCATGCATTTTGTGCAGGGGGCAGGATATGGGCAATAAACCTGCAAAGGGAACTGGGAAAGACTGTTCTGATCGCCAGGAAGCAAACCATGCCAGATCAGGGTCGGTACCATCAAATACTGCAGAGAGGTCAAGAAGGCTGAGGATTGAGAAGAGGCCCTTGGCTTTAAGAATGCAGAGATCTTTGATGACCTTGCCACAAATAGTTTCCATCAAGGGGTAGGGATGGAAGCCAGATCACAAGGTTGGGAAGTGAATG